TTTCGGGTATGGTTTCATAAGTACCGTCCACAAATTCCTATTGCATGTCGACGGACTTGACCGCGATATCATCTATGAACAGAAGTGTGTGCTTCGGAATCTCATCCTGTAGAATAAAGGCTACGTTGCCTTGAAAAATCTGCGCTGCATTAGTATGACCTTGTGGTAAGGTGGTCAACCTATGTGGACCTAAAGGCGTGCCAAATGTTGTAAGATCGCGCGACTCTTCATGGAGCATGCACTGGTCATATCCAGAGTACAAATCCATCATGCCATATATTGCATAACCCGCAAAGGATTCTGTGAGGTGTTCAACAAATGGGGGTACTGATGTGTTGCGAATTGTCACGGCGTTGAGTGGCTGCAAGTCGTGAACTAGGCAGAGCAATTTGCCGTCTTTCTTGACTACGCAAAACCAGCGCAAGCGATATGCGGCTGTTGAAGGCTCGTATACGTCCGACACGATTTTCTCCTTAATGATGCACGTGACTTCGTCTATTGTCGACAGCAGAACCGGTATATTGCATTGTGACCATGGTGCATGTGGAACTGTTGGAATCTTGTACAGGCAGGAAGTACCTTTCATCAAGGCGGCTGCGCTCGGATGCTTCCCAAGCAAACACGAGTTCATGTGTGCAGACTAGCCAGCATACTAGCTTAGCTTCCTCTGGCCATAGCCAGTTCGCGGGATCAAAATTAAACTTATCCACGCGGACTTGCATGAGGCGGATACCTGGAACAAAATCTGGGGGGTGAGTGGGTAATGGGATTAGTCCTACTAGAGGATCGGGCGGTAGTTCATGAACGATGCAATACTCAGGCGGGGTAGCCATGAGTACACTGCGAACTTTCTTCGCGACTGGTTTGTATACCAGCGCATGGATAATGGGATCATATTCATAACACGCATTAAACGCAGCTATGTTCGCGACATGAAATGCCATGCTGGAAGAGGTTAGATGTGCATATAGCGCAGACTGCAGATGAGAGAAACAAGAGTGTGAAAAAGAGATGGGAATGAGAGATGATGATGAAATTAATGAATGTGATGTAGCAATATTGCTCCTTGAGAGCGAATGAGAGTGGTTATCATTGTGCGATACGGGCAAAGTGAGTGAAGAAACATTAGTCATTGATACTTAAAAATCCTGACCCTCAACCTCAGTGACATTGACATGCAAGTGTGTATGCGTAGCTTCTCTGCAGGGCGTGCCGTGTACTGCGATTTGGCAGTTTCTGACCCAAGGGAGGGTCGGGATGCGCATTTCTTTATGTGTATTTGGATCCGTTAATAAAATGTCCTGCGCTCTGCTAGGGAGGTCAAATATGCAACAAGAAGTAAGAGTGAAAAATGGGTGTCTGAGCAGAACCTCAAAGTTCGCGTGCTCTGTTACCTGAACTTGGAAGTACATGGGACCTCCTCCGAAATCGAGCGGAATATTTTCGATGATGCCGAGCATTGAATTGTGCAAAGTGTTTACCAACTCCATGCGCATGCGGTGATCTGACCGCAGACCAACTCCGAGTGATTGCCATACTTCCCTTGGCATTACAACGACTTCCGCACCCTGATCTAGGATGCAAATAAGTGTCCAGCTGCCTATGGTTGTTGCGGAAATACACCTCAGCGGTGCAAAGTGATCTGCTACGATGCATCCGACATCGCTATGCAAACGCACATCTTCATACTCACGCATCCAATGATGCGAAATGGGGTGACTAGACAGCTCGTTGACTGAGACTGTCGTGACAGTGACCCATCAATTGGTCAACATGTCATGGAGGTTATTCTGGACGTCGGGTGAAACAGCTAGGACATCGCGCACAGGAATGCTGATGGCGACATCCAGGATCTGGTCAGTAATGCGCTTTTTGGTGCCTTTGTCCTCGAGCAGACAGGTTAAACAATAAGTGCCCGAAGGCGTGGGTGCTACTGGCATTGCTACTGCTACTGCTGGTGCTGAGGGGGGTGAAATGTTAGTGGTCTTTTTCACGGAAGACAAAGATGATGTTTGCGTGCTCGCGATCAGTGCGGGCGGTATTACTATGGGTATTTTGGCTACCTCCTTGCCTTTACTAGACATTGCTTGAATTGCTGGGGAGACAATTTCCTCCTTGACTGTCAGCTGGCGCAATGCTGGACCTGGTTGCAATCATGTTTTGCTAGGAACACCAATGCCGTCGAAGCAAACATTCTTTTCCTTTGCATTAGCTTTCACTCCACGTTTCTGCTCTACCTTTGCCTTCGTGTATGCTAGGGCTTGGGTAGTGCACTCGAGTTCACGCTCATCCTCGTCTTTCTCGGACTCGGACTCAATGATCGTGTGTATGAACGCAGATGGATCAACATCCAAAATGCATTCTACCTCGGCTGGTGCGCGGTACCATAAACCTACATGAGTGCTGCTAGCGTCTGCACTCTTCTCACTTTCAATCATGTGATCTACACGATCCTTTAATAACTGTTCGCGTCCGACGACACGATTGCCGTTAGGCATGATGAGCTTATAGTTCTCATATAACTTACACTTTCCTGCATCGAGGTATTTTTCAGTGCTCCAGACAACACATGATGAAATGGTCAAGGTTGCCGCAGAACATGCAACCATCCGACACTTGAGTAGTGCATGGACACTGATATTTGTGCTTGGTCACTGAACCTTGTGTGGGCTGTTGAGCTGGCGTTGACGCGACCGCGGGGAGTAAACTCGCTAATGGCGCTGTAACTTGTGTGTTGGTGACGGGTGCGGGCAAAGCGGGCGCCGTAGCTGGCAATAAGAATATCGCCACATTGTAGACATTCTTCCATGGGTAAGGGTCCTCATGATGATGGTCTGGGAACTTGATTAGTAGGCAGGTGCACATTAGCATCTGCACATTGCTAGGCAATCCTTCTAAGAAAATGTGATCGTGTTCCGCCGAGCCTACTCTGTCCTTGTCTAAGAGCAGCTGCATTATATTGTGGAAATCATGATAGTACAAGCTCAACTCATTGACAGATGGCATTGGCATTGCGGCATACTTTTGCGCGACTGCGCTCAAGTTGTTGACCATGTAGCGATGATCCCCTTCACAGCCGGGGTACATTACCTTGACTTCGCATATGAACATGTCGTAGTCACTGACCTTCGCTTCTGGCAGACATGCCCAAAGTTCTTTGTCGGTGGGCACAAGATAGCGGATGATCTGCTTGATGCGATCAAGACCGGTGAGACTGGCCTGATCAGGCATGTTCTTCATATGCATCTATAAAATCTAACAAGTTAGCAGTGGTGCCGTCAAATTTCGGCACGTGGTCAGTGCCACGAATAGGCATGTGATAAGGTGTAGTCATTGTGACTGGTGGGGCGATGGTGGCGATTGTAGGTGTGGGTACTGGGGCGGGTGCGATGTATGCGGGTTGCAGTGCGTAAACACTTGAGAGAGTGCCAATTATGTGTCTGTTAAGTATTGATACAGGTGGGTTGAGGACTTGAACTGTTTCAGGTTTGACGGGCAAATCTGACTCTTCTTCTTCTTTGTGCGGCGGCGCGAGCGTATCTATAGGTGTTAGTGCGGTGAATCTCACTTTTTGCTCTGCTTTAGGCGTGCTGTGAAAGGTTCCAGGGATGTTACCTCTAGGTGCATCTACGGATGTGAAATCGTCGAGTGATTCTTATTTGATTGATTCTTTGGGCGAAGATGTGATAGGCGATGGTTGTTGTTTGTTTGCACCACTGAAAAACGAAAGTCCCGGACGTGGCGCGTGGACAGCAGATTCTTCTGTGGGCGGTATGGTAGCGAAAGTTGAACCATCAGATAGTTCTTCTATAGCTTTGTCGATGCGCATGATAATATCCGTGCAAAATAACTGATGCGTGTTGGGTCTGAGTACTCTATCATATGTTGCAGTAGTGCCCCTCATGGTGGGCTCCAGTTGAAGATGAGGAATCTAAACTGTGAGGAAAGTTGGTGCTAAGCTAAGCAAACATAGATAGACCCGGGCGCAAGTGAAATCATTGTCCCAAGGGCAGCTAACTGAGTAAAGGGAAACCTCTCTTTGTAAAAAGAGGGACACCAAACAACTAATAAAGTAATAAGGCTAAGTAACGCGCTTTGCGCGAGGCAGAAACAATGCAATGAACAGAAGGTGGATGTGTGCGACTTTAGATAGTCACTTGCCAACAATGAGTAAAATTCTTAGTATCCAAAGACACAGAGAAAGTAGGCAGAAAATTGACCTCAAAAATAGAGTAAAGAGATAGTATATGTAAAGATGGCTAAGCGCTGCTAGGCGCGCAGGTCCGATGTAGTGAGCTGAGTAAGCTAAATATAGTATGTGAGATAGGTAATAGGGTCTCGGCTGCGCGTGTAGCGCTAGGTCGAGAATTAGCAATGGAAACAATTGGTCAAAATGGGAATATAGTGAGAAAATGCACCAATGAACATCTAAGGACATGGGGAGGACAGATGGACATGTATGTGGACGATGCTAACACAGATGCATGGTGTGCACGGAATCTGCAAAGTAAAATATATGAAGTGCTACTGCGCAAGACGTATCCTTGGGATTAGAGCTGGAGTGTGTAGGAAATGTGGGAGAATTCGAGGGAAGTAGCTGTGGAGATGCAAGGCTCTACACCGGTGGTGGGTTTTAATTTCTCATGCATGGTTGGGTCTGGTGGAGGGTAGGCAGGGTGTCCTGGACCGAACACGAGCCACCCTTTGATTGCACAACATGGACCGACCTTTGAGGCGAACGTTACATGAACATGCAGAATTAAATTCAAAATCATAAGGAAAATTAGGAAATGTCAGTTCCATCTTCCCAATATTGATCATCAACAGCAATTATCACTCGTTTCAACAGCCTTGTAAAACCAAGCTTACTAGTCATGCACAGTCAATCGTTTTCAGATAAATTCAAAAATTCATATTGCTCAAGTAGTACCAAAAAACTGTACCAATATTGACTCTGAACTAGGTATTGTATGGAAACCCGGACACTCATGCTCAATTACTCAGCTAGCAGTACCATATATAGGCAATGCTTTTGTAGGACCCTGAATACCGCCAATGCGAATCAGAAATAATATTATGTGCTACATGTGTTGAACAATTGTATAACGAAAAACTGTTGTCCCTACTGCGACACGAACAAATGTATAATGAAAAACTATTGTCCTTACTATAACACCAAGATTACCAGTCAGAGCACAAGTGTCCAGGCTACTACAAGACAATAAATCAAATCACCATTCATCTACATCTGTGTCACCATCTGAGACATTGGAAAAATTGGAGAATTCCCATATGACCAGACCATCGTGATCCAATCTGATGATGTCTTCATCAATACTACCTGTAGTTTTAGGCTCATTGTCACGTATGAGATTATCTAGTTGATATAAATTGTTGTCACCTGCATAGTTGTCAGATTGTGTTTGACATAGCTACAAGCGGATAACATACTGAGTCCGAGTCCACCACCCACCCCACCCATATAGTAGGCACCATTGTTGTCCTTGTGATAAGGCAAGTCCTGGTAATTCTCTAAAAGCGGGAGATCTTCTTCAACATCTTCAATAGTGGATGGTATCTCCTTGTTGCCTTGCAGCATATCAAGAAAAAGTAGGTATACGTCCCAAGCTGACTGCCTTGTGACTGATGGGCGCCCCAGTTCCTCGTAGTAATGCTGTATGAGCTTCCTGAATGATTGTGACACGAGGTCGAAGATGATGTGAGAAGGATCAATGTAGAGATTTTGTATGTGATCTAATGCCTCACGTTCAACAGTAATCTCTTAAAACAAAAGGTAAGAACAAACGAAATGAGCACATATGGTGCTTCTTACTTTAAAGTCCAGGGCACCGAAGTCCTCAGGTGACTGATAGACAATGTTCAGCACACCGTGCAGCAGAATCTTGTTCCAGTCTCACCTCTTTTGGGTGTTGTTCACTTGGTCCTGGTATGCGTCCAATTCCCGCTGCAACCAAGGTATAAAGACCCATTGAAAGACCATCCTAAATCGATCCCACAAGCTATGATCAGACTTGAAGTGAGATGAATGAGCGAAGATACATACATTTGGAGAGTATTATTACTATCATACCAACCTGACATGACTCCGTGGTCCAGTAGTGACTTGAATCCTGGTGTGAATCGGCGTCGCATTTGTGACCAGGTTATCTTGGGCATGATGTTCTTCTTGTTTTGCATCCAGTGATGCTGCAAAGTACCCTGCAGTGCAGGATCATGCCACTGGCGAAGCATTGTATGTGCATTGGCAATGCCAAAATTTTCCGACCCAGGGTCACTCTGGGTGACCATGGGCATATCTAGTAGTAGGTATATTACAATGTCAGTGGAGAAGCAAACCAGAAAAAAAACTTATGACCAAGCATATCAAGTGTGTCGAGATAATAGCTGAGGATCAGCTGTGGGTTCCAGTTCAAGTGCCAAACCCTCATCTACATAATCCTACCTGAGAATGGCTCGATGCCAGTATGAAGGCTGAGGCCGTACCTAAGCCACTTGTCGTGTTGATCAACCACAAATATATTGTTAACTCCCGCTGCCCAAAATCATCTCCTTCGAAGGCGATTGGCCTTGCGCTGGAGGACAAGTTCTGGCTTGTATATGGCGAAGTAAGATGTCACCACACTCCTGCAGTACAAATAGAGACTACAGTTAATGATTAAGATATGATATTGATGAAAATACTACATTAACTGGCCACACTCATGTTCTGTTTGTGAAATAACAAGCTCACCATTTCACGTGCTCCAGCATTTGGATAAGTCATACACAGATCAGTCATCACCTCACGGATAGTCTCAACATTATGCATTTGCTGGTGTGTTCTTCGCAGGCCCATACCCTTGCGAATTTTGAGAAATTTAGTGAGCCTAAGCATGCTGTCGGAACATAAATCAAAGGGACGAGTGAAAACAAAACTCACCTGAGACCATAGTGCAATGTGTCAAAGTGTTTCTGCAATTCTACAACAATCTGCTTGTCTGTCTGACGTGCCTTCCAAAGGTGAAGGATGTGCGGCTGGATAATATCCAAAGGTGCTAATTGTATGCGAGTTAGCAGTGCTGGTCTAGAGAAACAGAACAGAACAAGACGTACATGTAGATTTCCACTGATTGGGCATAGAGGCACTGGAGATGCGAGATGTTAGTGACAAGTGTATTTAAGCTGAGTAGTACGTACCTCCAATGTATCTCCAGCCCCCGCATAGGATACATGAGGCTGGCTCTTGGCTGGTTCTCCCGAGTCAGATACATGCACCAAGAAATCGCTTGCCTGCAAAACACACTTGAGACATGAGGCAATTCATGGAATAGGAATGAAATAATATGTACCTAGCTAGTTTGGTAGTTAGTTTGAGCTTGTGGCAACTGTTAACTAACTCATATCAGATGAAACACCAGGCAATTCACAGAATAGGAATGAAATAATATGTATCTAGTGAGTTTGGTAGTTAGTTTGAGCTTTGTGACAACTACCTTTGGACTAAATTGACTAACTTGTATTGGAGGCACTATTGGAGGCTCTGGAGTCACGCAAAATAACATAACAAATCTCTCTCCACCCTAATTCCAAGTTGGATCGAGTCGGAGAGTCAGATTAACCTGCCATTCAGTCCTTATTATTGTCCAAACACATTCCAAACACATTCACTACTTGATTGTCTACTCTAGTAAGTCCTTATAATTCCTCACAATTCCTTGCTGCACTAATAGCCTGATGAAACTCCTGAAGCTCCTGCAGCTCCTCCTGCCAGGCTCATGAGCTATGTGTCTCCGGGCCCCAGATGAAGAACTGAATTGTTTGATGAGTCTTCATTTTTTGAGCTTGGCTTGTGGCTCACAAGCTCCTGTTTTGCAACAGACATTCTTCCAAAACTTCACCAGTGCTCAATGTTCCCGGTCTTTAGTATTAGTATGTTCTCTCAACATACTTAACTATTTGAATTTTATTAACTTGTTATTTTTTCTCGTATTTAAGCCATGCCGCTCTTCACTACTATGACTATTCACAGTCCCTCTCATGGCCAACCCCGACAATGTTGTTTGTCAGTTCACTGAAGATGCCTTTGCTGCCGAAGACAGGATCTGTGAGTGGCCCTCTTGTCAGGCCCAGATCAACAAAGGCGAGCCCTGTTACTATGTGCAAACAATTGAACCTGGAAAAGCAGGGTGTTATGTATGCGCAGCCTGCTATGCATGTTATCAGACAAAGTCTGTGACTTCAACGAAGAGACCGACAGGTGAGTAATCATAGGTTTTATTATAACAACACAATCTAAATACTTGCAGTACCACGGTATCTGTCATTTACTGCACAGTTTAATACAGCCAGTAATCGCCAGCCCAATGCCCAAATGATCCGGCACTCGGTGAATGCTGCTCAAAGGAAGTGTAAGTTGTATCAATCTTTGTATGGTGGGACTTGAGCTAATGATACCACAATAGCAAGCATTGATCCTCCTCCTGTAATTGCCATTCCTGACTGGACAAATGCCATCATGGGCCCACCACCTGTCCCTTGCCGCCGTGCAGTCACTGGCCCGGATGTAGCCATCCCTATGTCTTGGCAGGGATCAGCCGCACCACCAATACCATCGAGGCTCACTGGTGCGGTTGGATATTCATCACACCATGGATTATATGGCGGAGAACATCTTAGATGGGCCAAAGCTGCCTATGCTACCCCTGGTGCTGTACTAGCAGCAGAAATCATTTCGCTCAAAATTTCAGCTGTCCATGAAGCGGGGGTGTGTGAGAAATCCAGAGGCCTACCAATTGGAGTACGGTCTTCCCTATTATACTGTTATGAGAGTGCCACTGATTGTATTTTTATTTAGAATATTTGTGAAGGCAAGAAAGACATTGATGCTCCAGGTCTCATCAGCCTCGCTTTGGAGACAGTGCTACCTAAGCTATGTGCTTTTGGTGGCATGTTTTCATGGCACGATGAAGAATTCATTGTGCGAGACTCAGGATGGGTAGACTTATCGATACATCAGCCATCAATTCCATACTTCTACTCACAGTGCCTGCAGCCAGGCCGCAAAGGTCCTAAAGGTGCCAGGTGGCGCAGCACCTAGTACCAATATATCCAGCAAACGAATGCACGAACGTGCAAGCAGTTCTGGCACAATTTCACCCCCTCACAAGCTTCGGGTACCTCTCGCACTGTCTCCTGATCGCAATGACCTCAGGGAGGCCCTTAAGATAGGTGGAGGTGCTGACTTAAATGTTAAACAAAGTATGTTGTAATTCATTTAATCTATTCAATCACACTCACTGTTTGGTGTCAGTCTCCAAATTTCAGAATGAAAATATACATTTTCACTCAATCCCTACCTGACCCCTCTGTGAGCTTCTGAGGTGTACCTGCTATCATTCATTCTTGGTGGACAATACCGACTCATCAGTCGGCTATGTAACAATTGACCCATCCATCGAAGGACGCATTGGAATAGGCGGATTCAAAACAGCACACCAAGGCTGGTTGACATTAACAGCTCCCCCTAGCTCAGGTCTGGGGTCACAGGTGAGTCACAATGTTGTTGTGAAACACCCATTTCACAGAATATACCCCCAAGGTATACCTACCTCTAGTACTGATTACAGGATTGGACGCTTTGCACTAGTTGACGAGCTGCCTAAGTTATTCAGGGAGGCGAATGTCCTGTACTGGGCAAAAGTGTTGTTAGGTCTCATCTACGATTTCATCGACCACGCCATTGCAGGCACACCTGATCCTCCACCATTCAATATTCCACGCATGTGGTTTGTTGAAGTGGGCCTCACGCTATCTTATTCTCAAGGTAGCAGCAAGTCTACAATAAAGACTGGGGTGCCAAGTGCAGGTTTCCTTCTTGAGGAGGTCATTGATGGTGAAGATTTTATGAAGTTCATTCATAATATGGATCTGAACCCATTACTTGACCCAGAACAGGATGGGTATGACTTTGCGCAGTTCTTGGCGTTCACACAACATGTCCAGTGCACGAAGACAGGTAGGCTGGTTTTTATATCTGATTATCTAGTGATAGCCAGGTCCGGTTCTGAACCGCAGTTCGAACCTGAACCATTTCAAACCTGACTGAAGTCCAGTTCAAGGTTCGGGCAATAGGGAGGACCGAACCGTTGGTCTGGTCCGCGTTTTGGGGATGTGCAGAATTGCAGAACTGGTTCTGAACAGGTTCAAACCTGTTCGAACCAATGGCAAGTCAGTATGTAGTTTAAGTGTAGTACTTATAGGTGGAGATGACAAAATGTTTGGTATCCATATTGTACATAATGCAAAAAGAACAGTTCAGAATGCATCAGCATAAACGAGGGTAGAATCACCAGTAACTGTATTATGGGCACTGGATGAGCTGTGGTGGCGGTGGAATAAATGCCTGAGAAGTGTGCTTCTTTGCAGTTCTGAGGAGTGGGAATGGCCTTGTGCAGAGGACTGAGAACAAAGAGGTCAAGAAAATGAAATTGAAGTGATAGCGATGACGCACATAAGCTGGTGAGACTCCATCGAAAAACCATGGGGTACCTGATGAGCAGGTGGACATTGTTGGACAGGAGGTTGTGTAGCATTAGCCAGGATTGATCACTATGACATTGTTTAGATGTGTGATTCTCTGCTCAGGAAAGAAAATCAAGGAAAATGAGAGAAAGAATGCAAAAACAAAAGACATGCAATTGCAAATGAGACCATACACAGGAAAGCTATAGAAAGTCTTTGCATTGTCTGGAGGCGGCAGCTCATGAGTCACGCTGTGATTGTACTCCTGTACAACACCTGGGTCTGATTCAGAACATGCAGGTGCCAATGCAAGCCAGGAGAGTGCAAGTGCTGAGCATGAGTACTAAGCGAGTGTCACAACCCAAATAACGAATTAATGCTTGGGCAGAGACTAGGACTCGACTAAGGTTATCGGACAAGAGGATAATGAGCAAGGACGTCTTGGATTGCTACGGTGTAGATACAAGAGGTTTGAACTAAAGAACTATTGACCAAGACATGCTACCTATATACAACTATTGAGACGGAGATTGAAACTGAGTTACAACTACTAGCCAATCATAAAATAGAAAAGGGAATCATACCATAGAACATCGTAGAATATTAAAGAAGTATCACGTGACCATATCTTATCTTATCTTATCTAATCTAATCTATTCACAATCAAAGAACTCGTCTTCTTCATCAGTCACATCGAAGACACGTGTTGTGGGCGCTAAGGGAATCTCTGATCTGGTAGACACTTTTGGAGTAGGGTTAGGGTTTGACTTAGGTGCTGTGTATTGACGCTTAGGAAGATTTAAGAAAGAATAGTGGTTTGTTAAAGGTACTCGTGACAGCGAGTGAAAGTAGCATTTAGTATTACATGATGCATCTGTTGTTGGGTGTGTTTCAATATAATGTTTCTTGACAAAATTTTTATATATAGTTTGGATGGTGCAGTTCTCAGTTCGAACCCTCACTGAACCAGAACCAGACCATTTTCAGACTGAACCGGACTTTTCCATCACTACTGATTATCAAGGTATGTGCTCCAAGTATCCTATATTCTCAATGTCATTAATATTGGGATTGAACAGGCAGCACAGAGCTACTGACTGATCCCCAAATAATGACGCACTCGTCTGTCAGTGAAGGGAAGGATATATTTGGGGAGGGCAATATTGAAAAGGCCGTCAGCAAATTTGAGAGACACCATGTTTGTAATGAGTTCTGCAGATGGCCTGGATTTGGACTTGAGGCGCTTGGTGCAGAAGTAGCTTAGATCGGACTCTTTTTTGTTTTCACTGATATTTTTTGGCTGCGCTACATTTAGCTTGAGCACGAGTGTCCAGGTTTCCATAGTATTGCACCATCAAACATGATACCAAAGCGAAAACAGAACACGACCCACTGTTATGTCGTGCCGCTCGGGCTATTTGGAACATACTATGTGCAGGTCTTAAATCCAGGTGAGTCATATAGTTGAATCCTTGGATGCACAGGCTGCAACTTGTTCATACTCACTAATTTTTCAGGATCACATGATCTTCCACAGCATTCTGAACTATCTTCACAACTTCCTCCCTCGTGGATACATGCGGCACTGACATACATGGATGCTGTCAAAGCAAAAATGATAACGGCGAGGAAGGAGAAACACATTTCTTGCAAGGTAATATGGAATATTCTGGAAGGAGTCTCGGATGATATATCTGAGGATGGGGGAACTGTATAGAACAACGACCAGCATTTATATCCTACGTACTATGCTCATGGGCGTGATCCTGATCGATTTGGCAGAAGTGTTACTGCTATCAAATAGCAGAAATTTTGGTAGAATGTGCGGAGGCGTGTTCAATTCATTGTATCATGACCCTGGGATCCTATTGCGTCGAGGATGATATGTTTGTGCTACGTACGTGGACCAATGTTCTGCCAATGAACATTTATCAAAGATTTTAGTGTACGTTCAGCGATGAACTGAACTACAATGTGGAGTACCAGAAGTCCTGTCTTGATATTATATAATCGCACCCGTTCTCATCGTGCCATGCGGCCATAGTAATGGGTTAAAGGTTTTCACTGGGCCGTTCATCGCTGAACGTACACTCACTTTGATAAATGTTCGTTGACCAGCAGAACTGACAGAATATGGCAGGACTATGGTTGTGCCATGGCAAAACCAGGCAGAGGTGAATTATTTGTCGACTACAAGGAACTATTGGTTGCAATTGACATTATGTACTAAGTACGTTTACAGCCGTTTGAGAAACTACTAATGTCGTTGGCAATTTTTTTCATGTGCACTCCCTTCTGCTTCTGTTTTCACATAACCGTTCAGCCTATCCATACCTAGGGAAACGCATGGGTACGGGTACGGTGTACGATATCCATACCCTCCACCACACCCCGACCCTTTACCGCGGACCATACCAAGGACCCTTACAGTTTCGCAGGCCAAAGTAGTCCTTGTTGGCAAGAAATCAAATGATAAGTATCAAATCTTCATTTCGCATTCGTTGGCTAGTGTTACAAGAACATCTAGACGCTTGGGCCCCTACCATTTTTCTCCTCATCCTTCTCATATCAGCCCTTGCATCATACCCTCACCCCGACCTCACCCTCATTATCCTTGTCATCCTCGCATTCCCTTTCGCCCTCTACCTGTCGCTTCAGCAGAGCCAGTACATCTGGCCGGATCCTTTCGCTGATGAAGCATACCCATGCTCTGTTCCACCGCCTGACTGATCCTGTGGACAGTCCCCTTGCCCTTACCGTCCGGACGGTAACCTATGATATGATGCACGATGCATCCCCTTTGCCCTGTTCCCTTTCCCGATCTCTGACTCAGTGCGCAGTCACACATGTTACCTATACTTAGCTCCGCAGCTGCACGATTGTGCCCCTGCGCGTTTCACTTCTTGTTTTGACCTTTGACTCACTTTCTTATCAAGCACGTTCTGGTTCACCCGTGTCTCACCCCGAATGTGCCTTCCTTTTATGGTTATGCCCTTTATTGTTTACTTCACTTGGTAGTACGAGTTATCACCCACTAATACGCCTCCTGTCCTCTATATAAACTCGCTACCATGTACCATATTCCCTAACTTGAATCTACTTGGTTCTTGACCTCCTACTCTCACCAGAGTGATCCTTTCTGCCTAGCCAGCAGTCTATATTCTATCTTCTTATCTGCTCATTGCGGATAAGCCTATAGTCTCGATCTTTACTCATCGACTTCGTCGACGAGCAAAGCCCCTGTTAACTAGTCAGACTTCCGTCCTTCTAATTAACGACGATCTTACGATTAACCTTCGGGTGTCGTAAGCCTTGGCAGATACAGCTCATCGTCTAGCACCCGCTTGACGTAAGCTACCCGATTTGGACATAGGCGTCAAATCTTACTTGCTGAAGCCTCGCCAAGTAAGACCCCTAACCTTGGGCTAGCCCAAGGATGTCCTCGACCGTTGACGACACACGCTCTGTTTGAGCGTCGCCAACAAGATACCATCCAAGTCGTAACAAAAGATTCAAGTTACCTTCTAGCCCTCGACACCTATTGAGGACAGAAACAGATACAAGACGACCACTCCCTGGACACGCAACTTCTCTTGGGAGCGCGACCCGAATCAGGAAGACCCTGACGAAGAAGAGGTAGACGGACAGTTTAGCTCTCCCACCTCACCGACAGAGCAGTACCACTCAGACGAGGGACTGAACGACAAATAAGATCTAGGAAACACTCCGACTTCTGAAGAGGACTTTCCAGACGAAGTACCTCCCCGAAACACTAGCGCCAATCTGAAGACAAGAATGTCTAACCCATCATCCTCCTCCACTGCTGTCGTCGTCCGTGCCCCTGAACTCAAAGCAGGAGCACCAACGGACTTTGATGGTAATACTGACGACGCGCAACGATGGCTCTACAGCTTAAAGGCGTATTTTCTCATCAATTATACCATCTATAACAGCGAGCAGACCATGGTCTCAGTCGCCCTGTCATTAATGACAAAGAACAGCGCTAAAGCATGGGCTGACAACTTCTATCGCGAAGCTTTCAGCACCAACCCCCCGAAATTCAGAACCTTCGCCAAATTCAAGAAAGGATTCAACCTTGCATTTCAACCTGTTGATAAGCAGGTGAATGCCCTCACCGAAATCGCCGAACTCAGAATGGGAAACAATGTTACGGACTACATCTCGAGGTTCAAAACATTGGCTACCATTGCCAATATCAAGGAAGGCGTGACACTCTCACACTTCTTTGAGAAAGGCCTGAACCCGAGCCTTCGCGAAGCAATCTACAGGAAGGAGACACTTCCTGACACCATCGAAAAGTGGTACACTTCTGCGGTTCAGCTCGATGCTAACTACCGCAGGAGCAAGGCCGTCTCTGCCAACTCCTGAAACCAACACTCCCGATACGCCCCTCGCGGTTCCAAGCACTACCCCAAGCCTAATGTCTCGTCGTCCAGAGACCCTAACGCTATGGACGTAGACCGCACCCTCTCTCAGGCAGAGAAAGACGATTGCTACAAGAAGGGCCTTTGCTTCTCATGCAAAGAGCATGGCCATAGAGCCAACGACCCCAGATTCCA